TTGAATCATAGAGAAAAGATTAACAAGCTTAGTTGAAGAATTTAAGTCACATAAACCGCATAGTTTCAGCCAAGTGTTGCTCTTAGTGATGCTATACAGTATATAACCCAGAGGGTTCTAAATACCAGACAGATACAAAGTTACAGACAATAGCTCAGAAATACAACATAGTCAAGCAAGGAAAAGATACTGCCATGGCTGCCCCACCAATGGTGGATACAAGTATATAACCCCGAGGATTTTAAAATACCAGACAGACACACACAACAGCTCAGAAATACAACACAATCAAGCAAGGCTCAAATAAAATGATATCAAGCAAGGAAAAGATACTGCCATCGCTGCAAACCAATGGTTGCCCCACCAAGGTACGGGTGAGCGTTACCACCAGTGGTGCATACAAGTATATAACCCTAAGAATTCTAAATACCAAACAGATACAGACTGTAGCGCAGAAATACAGCACAGTCAAGCAATGGCTCAGAAACAAAATGTGATCAAGAAAGGAAACGACACCGCCATGGCTGCAAACCAATGGTTGCCCCACCAAGATACGGCTTCGTACTTCCTTACCCAATCAACTCAAACATATTATCATCACAGCCAATAGAAGCATGATAACCAACAACGTTTCATCTGTACTGCAACTTATTTGTAGAAATATACTCTGTAATAATTAACAGGAAAAAGATGGATTATGAATGAATGCATGAAATAAACAACTTTATTTATTTATTCATTTCTTGTTGTTTGGGCTGTTGAATGAGAAGAAAATGTAACGAAATCATTGAGTAATAGAGAGGGGCAACCACCCATAGAAACCCAGAAATCTCTCTATACCCCCATTCTTCAGTTTTCAGATCTTAATTTTCCGGTTCAGTTTAACAGGAAACTAAAACATGATCCCGATTAAAGACATCCGCACAACACAAGACCACACAGTGTACTTTGATTATACCTTTCTCTCACAATTCAAAGTAAGGTTTAGGGTTTAGTCGTCAACAAAAACAAGGCTCAGAATACCATTGCTTCAAAGTCATCCATTGCATCAACTAAGAATAAGTATAATGGTATGCAAGAATATTAAGAGACTATACATAGTGTATTGTCTGTCTAGTAGACTAGTACAAGAAGGTACAATAGCTTCAACCTAAAATAATAGTCATACATGTAAAACCAAGTAGTAAATCTGGAAAGAAAAGCATGGAAATGCACAGAAATTACAGATCATGCCCTTGGTATCAGTACCCTACCTAGAATTTTGAGTTGGATGTAAGTGGCAATTCACATCTTGGTGCCTTCAGGTAGTTTCTCAACCCAATGCTCAAAACTAGTGCCAGAAATGGAAGGACTATAGAGATGACAGTGAACATGGTAGATATGCGGCTGCTGGGCGTGATAGCAGTCATACAGGTATCATAAGTAAAGATAAGTGCACAAATTGAAATTAGAAGTTCAAGCTGCAGAGGGAATGCATTTGTGAGGAGGCCGATTATGTGAAGGGATGTATAGAATCCAACAGTTGGAAACCAGGAAGAGGCTGTATGCTACTGGGTTGAGTGAACCCATTACTGACTTCCCAGCAACATGGTCATTTGAGTTGTCCTGCCAAACGCCACCCGGAGGACTAAGCACAACCTGATAAGTGGCTGTTGCAATGAGAACAGCAATCACAAGGACGGTGTTTCTTACTCTAGCTGGGGAGTCTTTGATGGTGTTGTATTTGAAATAGTCCAGCAATTGTTTAGCAGGCGATCACGGCCTTCCTTGGTCAACATCAGAGGTAGCGGTTCTATCAGCTTCAAGAGATTGAAGGGAGAAGTCTCTTGCCCTTGTACCTCCTGCCCTTCTTAGCATTTCCTCGATTTCTCTGTCACCTGCTTGGCTTTGAAAAATCAGAAAAACATCCAGAGGTGTGAGACCTGCAGTGTTTAAGGAATTTATGTCCAGCACACTCTTGTTGACGAACTCTTCATTAAGCATCAGGGAAATCACCTGTTCAATCATCTAAAGATTAGTAGTAGCAGAACTTAAAGAACGAGAGAACACAACTAGTCTAACACATGCCTCGAATTGTCTTCTTGATACTGCAAGGTGAAGATTAACTGTGCTTCCCTGGACATCCTTTTGGTTTACGATGTCTTCCTTGTTGAATTTCTTCAGGTGCTCCACTAAGACCTTGAGAACCTCATATTGATAGTTCATCACTGCAAGGTGAAGCGCAGACTCATTACGAGCTGTTACGTAAGCTATGGAATCTCCAGAAGCTCCAAGCAGTTCTTCAACAACTTCGACTCTTCCTTTCACTGCTGCACAGTGAAATGTTCTCTTCCCTTGACCAGGCAAAGATTGCTATCTATTTTCAGCATCTCTCTTGCAATCTCGATATTCCCAGCTGCAGAGGCGATATGCAATGGGGTCACACCATTTTGATTCAGCTCCACAGCGAATTCTTTCTTAAGCTCAATCACCTTCTTCACAAAACCAGCGTGCCCTGCAATACAAGCAATGTGTAGTGGATTTTCTCCACCTTCCAACAAAACAGTATGCGGCAAAAGGGGATGATCTTCTGTCAGTCTCAGCAAGTCTTCCATGTTTCCTGTCCTGGCAATCTCACACAGCCTTTCATCCATTCTTTCGAAGATAACAACTATAGTATCACTTCCTGCAGTCAGGTCAATTTATATAAAGAAAGAATCCTGTAATGTGAACCCCTTAAATTACGAAGTTTTTTGTCACATCAGTTTAGTTTGCCTAAGAGCCTATTTATATAAATTAACTTGCAGCTTACATCACTTTTACTCATGCTCTACCAAGATTTATATATATAACAGAAACTGTGTTCAAACCTCAAGGCCTCGCACAAGTGATAAGAATCTTGAAGTCAGAAATCCTTAGCCATGGATTCGAAACACAAATCAAAGGTCTAATTGCATTTTTGTGGAAAAGCTCGAAGGCATGTCTGACCCTCATCCCAATATAAAACACCCACAAACATTGCATTTTGGCACCCTACATGTTTCAGTCATCAAACTAGTGATTGTCCTCTGATCACAGTATTTGTATTTACGTATTTATTTGTTGGTAGTCTTGTGTTCAAAGTATTTATCCTACCCAACATTCTTTGAGCTGTTCATTTATCCGATTTAAGTATCCATCCATGCCTGCATGTCAGCCAGAGAAATCAGGATTAGTTTGCAGATTGTGTCACCACAAGCAACTTAAAAGTCAATGCTATTAATTAATTGTTCTGCTCCGAGATAATATACTTGACAAGGAAATATTTAATCATTTGTTTAGAACTTAATAAGGTAGCAATGTGGACAGATAGTATTTCAAACTTTTATAGGTAATTAACTACACTACTACAGCTTTTGTAGACTTCGATTTTGCATTAAAGAATTAAGTCCACTTTATGATTTTTGAAAGAGTTTTCTGTTCAGCCATGTGATTTTTCAATGTATATGTAAACCATGACTGTACAAAGCTTATAAGAAATAATATCATGAATTTCAGTAAAAGACCAGATACATTTATAGGCTGGAAACGATGTATATTTGAATAGTTTGATACAGATGTCTTGACATAAAACTTTGGTTATTTTTCCCTAATAGTTTATCAATTCTTACCATGGTAAGGTAGGGTATTATGATTGGCAACACTACAGAAAAGAACAGTATCATTAGGTAACTGTCAGGGCACAAATCCCACTGTTAAAAACTTAATCATGCAAAGGGATAGAGAGAAATGCCACAAAAAGATAAGCAAACCACAGCATTAGTCCAACATGAAGTTTCAAGAGTGACACTTAGAGAAAATAAAGTTAAGCAACAGGTTATACCAAGAGAAAACCAAAATGCCTGCAAACCTCATGGCCATCTCTCTTGCACCCCTACCGTCATTGTTAACCCAACAATTAGGGATAGTTGGTAAGTAGACAACTATGCAACGTCAAAGGTTCGACTCTTGTAGGGGTGTGTCATGTTAAAGAGCTCTTGGCCAAACTTTCCGCTGAGTAAGAATCATACTCTGTGATAGCAACTTAGGCTGAATTCAAAAAAAAAAAAAGGATACAAAGAAGGTTCCTAAACATTTATGGCTTAAACTTGGTCTTCAAGAATGTACTATGTGCACCGTGAGTGAGAACAAGCTCAGATGTATAATAAAATAAGAACAGTCAGTCACACAGATACAACATTGGCTGCAATCTCAATAGCTATACAGAGGAAAGAGAAAATCAATCCCTTTCATAGGCTATATAAGTATGCCTTGCCAAATGCCAAAGGTAAGGGTCAGTTGCTTCCAAGGCTAACATATACAAGAGGGTGAAGATACAAATCTTCATAGCCTGCACAATTGTGGCAAAAATACTGTAGCTGTTAACAACATAAATGCCCCTACTCAGCATTTCAACAGTAAATGGAAAATCACTGCGACTTCCAAGGAATAATATGAACAATGGATGGATAGACAGATATAGATATATAAATGCCAATGACCTTGTAGGTTGAGAAAGTAGTTATGAACAGATAGTACATTGTAACATTGAGTCAATAGTACTATAAAAAAAAATAAAAAAAATAAAAAAAAAAAAAAAAAAGAAAAAAAGATACATAGGTAGATAGTAAGATAGATAGCAGGCTCAAGCAATATGATCAAGCAAGGATAGCAACACCGCCATGGCTGCAAAATTCCAGTTGCCCCGCCAAGATAAGGCTCACTTCTTCCTTACTCAATCAGATCAAGATATTTGTCATCACTGCCTACATATCAACAGGAACCAACAATGTTTTTGTTTTGTTTTGTCTGTTCTCATTGCAGCTAAAATGCAGTAAATTATTTACCCAGTTTCAAGAAACAGAAAGAAGCATTATTATTATTATTATTATATATATATATATATATGCATGTTGTTTGTTGTTTGAATGAAATATTTGGCTGTTGCATGCGGACAAAACCTAAAGGAATCACTGAAGCATAGAGAGGGGCAACCGCCATAGAAACACCCAAATCTCTCTACACCCTCATTCTTGTGTGGTAACAGGGATCAGAAACGAATTCTGGTTAATAAGCTTTACCATATGAGCAGATTGTGGCTACAATCTAATAGTCAAGGGACCAAAATGAAATTAACTCTTTAGGCAAATCACTTGCCAACAGAAATTAGGCTCAGATTTGGTAATGGAGAAGCCATACCGCCATGGCTGCAGACCTGGAGGTCGCCCCGCCAAGATACGGGTCGGGTCCCTCCCTACCCGATGAACTGTAGAAAAATCATCATCATCACGGCCTACATAACCAATAATAATAATAATAACAGAAACAACAACACCACAAACATGAACAGGAAACTGAAGATCTGAAGGTTCAAGCGCGTATAGCTTCACTGCAAAACCGAGGTTTAAGCAGAACAAGAATGGCTACCCATAAGATAAGCCATAAAAGGTCCATAGCTTTGGAGTTGAGGAATGGCGAATGTATGATGATGATAATGATGATTCATTGAATACACAGAAACAAGCAGACCCAGAAGGGCGGGCAATAGCCCGCACCATTCTGGGCAATGATTCATCAGAAACGTTAACCGACAATTAGGGTTGTTGATTGTTGATGGAAGATGAAATCATCGGCATGCAGAGACGGTCAACCACCCTGAGAAATCCCGGCAAATCTCCGCAACCTCATTCTTTCTACACTTCATCCATGGAGTTTATCACCCATGCAGGGCTCCCTAATAGCAATTGTTATATCGTGCACCAGGGTGGGGCGCAATGCATTGTGCGCCCTGGTGCACGATATAATTTGCCCCTTAATATGTCGCAAATTAGGCTGTGCAACCGAATGCACCTTACAAGGTGCATACGGTTGCAAAACGGCGCCGTTTTGGTTAAAAAAACGTGCGTCCCACTTAAAGGAGAAATCAGGTTCGATTCCTGGCAATAGCATTTTTATATATCCAGAAATTCATAACTATATATCCACAGTGAATGAATGAAGTAAAAATCCACAATGAATGAATGAATGAACTAAATATCCACAATGATTGAACTAAATATCAACAATGAATGAACTAAATATCCATAAATTCATAACTATATATCCAGAAATTCATAACTATATATCCACAGTGAATGAATGAAGTAAATATCTACAATGAATGAATTAAATATCCACAATGAATGAACTAAATATCCATAAATTCATAATTATATATCCACAAATTTATAACTATATATCCAGAAATTCATAACTATATATCCACAATAATGCTATTGCCGAGAATCGAACCTGATTTTTTTTTTTAAGTGAGACGCGCGTTTTTAGTCAAAACGACGTCGTTTTGCATCATATGCACCATGCGCATGGTACATTCGGTTGCACAGCATAACTATTGTTAATATGTCGAGGAATTTACTGTACAATGAGGGCCGGCGATGTTGGGCTGGGCGGGCCCATGTGTCTATCTAGCAAATGTTCGAGTTTAGAATGTTAAAATAGTCAAATAATAAAACTTAAGATGCGCATGAAAAAAATTAATTTAGTATCTTACTAGTATTTTCACCCGTGCGATGCAGGAATTTGTTATAATATATTAAGGGTGTGTTTGGTTGGTGGGTTTTACCCATATGAATGGGTATGAAAGTGATTGTTGTTGTTTGGTTGATAGGTTTTTAGAACACTACTATAAGTTTTGAATACCCCATCAATTGAAAAATCCATACCCAAATAAAATAAGGGTTTCATTCCCTTATTCATTCTCAAGCACTACTATTAGTAACCATTCTCATTCCTCCCTACTACCAAACATGTTAAATACTTTCACCAAAACCCATTACCATTACCAAGTATTTGATACTCATTCCGATTCCGATTCCTATGTGCGAACCAAACACACCCTAAGAATATTTAGATCGATATACAATTATTTAAATTATAACATCAAATACAGAGTATTATATATTACAATTGAAGATATGATTTGGATCGTTTATGTTTGTTGATGTTATGATGTTATTATTTCTTGAATTTGAGCATGCTTAAATTAGTAGTTAATGTGTAGATGTACACATACGGAGCTGTGATTTTAGATTTTTATATATAATTGTTTAGGATTTTTATAAATTGGGCAAATGTGCTCGTTCTCTAACAACTTATTTATAGTAATCAATTGTTATCCTAATTCATTTGTATAAAGGATATATTTTTGTCTAGATGTATAGCAACTTTGTCATTTTGAAAAAAAAAACATATATCATCGATTGTATTTACACATTATTGAAAACCACTTTGTAGACGACATTGGTAGTTGCAACACAATCTTGTTGTTATGAATAAATTGTAATAGATTTTGATATGCCAAATTACTAGTCGAGTCATAGACCAAGAAAGGAAAAACTATTTTAGATTGAAAAGGGAAAATTATTTTAGATTGAAAAGAGAAAATTATTTAAGAGGAAGATGTATGCATATGAAGATGTATGTATATGAAGATGTATGCATATGATATGTACTTTACGAATTTCATCTGAGAAGAAATCCCTCAAGAAATCTCAGAAGTAATCCTAGAAGAAATTTCGAAGAAGAACGTGACATGAAGTTTGCATTAAGCTATCTTGAAGATCAAGCATCTATGAGAAGATAGGAGTATATCAAGTGGAACAAAATGGTAATCAAACGATTGTATGGATGGAATGGTAGAAGCTTGAAACATTAAACCCAATGTTATAGGTATGAATCTCACATCTCACATATTTTGCAAGAGAATTTTAAAGAAGACAAATTAAATCCAAGCAGTTCACGTGAAAGGAAAATCCAAAATTGGGCAGAGATTTCATTCTTTGGGCAGTTTCAATTCATGAGAAGAGATGGGCTTGGGCAGAGATTTCATTCTTTGGGCAGTTTCAATTCATGAGAAGAGATGGGCTTAAATTCAGAAGATATAAATAGCAAGATGAAGTTGCAAGTCTAAATTAAGCATGGGATAAGATTTCATGCGAAGAGATGGGCTTAAATTCAAAAGATATAAATAGAAAGAATGAAGTTGCAAGTCTAAATTAAGCATGGGATGAGATTTCAATTGCCAAAGGAAGAGATTTCAATATCAAATATAGAAATTAAGCATAGGATGAGATTTTAGTTGTCAAATCAAGAAGGGAAGAGATTTCAATACCAAATATAGAAACGTGAAATACATAGGAATTACAAGCAGAAGTTGCAGAAGGAAAAATAAATTCAAAAGATATAAATAGCAAGGGATGAAGTTGCAAGTCTAAATTAAGCCTCGGATGAGATTTCAGTTGCCAAATCAAGAAGGGAATATAAATAGCAAGGGATGAAGTTGCAAGTCTAAATTAAGCATGGGATGAGATTTCAGATGCCAAATCAAGAAGTGAATATAAATAGCAAGGGATGAAGTTACAAGTCTAAATTAAGCATGGGATGAGATTTCAGTTGCCAAATCAAGAAGGGAAGAGATTTCAATACCAAATATAGAAACGTGAAATACAGAGGAAATACAAGCAGAAGTTGAGAAGGAAAAATAAATTCAAAAAATATAAATAGCAAGGGATGAAGTTGCAAGTCTAAATTAAGCATGGGATGAGATTTCAGTTGCCAAATCAAGATGGGAAGAGATTTCAATACCAAATAGAAACGTGAAATATAGAGGAATTACAAGCAGAAGTTGAGAAGGAAAAATAAATTCAAAAAATATAAATAGCAAGGGATGAAGTTGCAAGTCTAAATTAAGCATGGGATGAGATTTCAGTTGCCAAATCAAGAAGGGAATATAAATAGCAAGGGATGAAGTTGCAAGTCTAAATTAAGCATGGGATGAGATTCCAGTTGCAAAATCAAGAAGGGAAGAGATTTCAATACCAAATATAGAAACGTGAAATACAGAGGAATTACAAGCAGAAGTTGCAGAAGGAAAAATTACTATTCTAAACTTGTAAGAGATTAAATTGGAGAATATATTTGAAGACCCAGATGGCGTGATCTATATCAGAAGAAATTTGGGAAGCCATTTTTGCGTAGTCTCTGACATATCTGCAACACTACCTCATCTTCTGAAAAGGCTACAAGAATCCAAATTTGATATCGTCTTTTTCCAACGGGCAGATTCTCAAAACCAGCTATAAAAAGATGTAGATTTTGAAGGCTGAAATAGAGCAAGCGAAACAAAGAACTTCCAACATATGAATACAAAGCTAGAGAAAGCTTACAGAGAAAAATATTCAAATGAGAAAATACATAAGTGCTCAGAAGCTTACAAAGAAATATTCAAGAGAGCCTAAATCTTCATCACAATAGCGACTTGCTGCTTATTGAAGATCATCTACATAGTCTCAAGTTGGAAGCAAGAGAAACTTGTTTTTCAAGAAACAATTGAAGTCCATACGGAGTGTGGGAAGGAGATTGTCACACGGAGCTGTGAAGTCTTGGAGAAGGGAAAGTAACACGGAGTTGTGAAATCCCGGCTGTAGTTCTACCGGAGCATAGAAAAAAGGGGGAAAGTAACACAGAGTTGTGAAATCCTGCAAAGTGGCACGGAGTTGCGAAATCCGAACTATAGTTCTACCGGAGCGTAGAAAGGGGAGGAAAGTAACGCGGAGTCGTGAAATCCTGTAGCGGTGTTGTAGGCACTGGGTTGGGTGTGATTAGTGCGGGCTTGGTGATCAAAGCACTAGATCACAGAATTCATTGTATCTTGGAACCAAGAAGTGATAGATATAGTGAATTGCATTTGGAGGATAAGAGCAAGTGGAGTAGGAGGATTACGCGACCTCTAAACCACTCTAAATTGGTTTGTGTTCTTTATTGCTTTACTTTACTTACTTGCTTGCTTGCTTCTCACATGGATATAATTGACACAATTACACAACACTTATTTTGTTATTCCGCTGTGCACATGACTATAACAACCGGTTAAAAGTTTTGGTTTCTCTGTTGCCTTAGCAATTGTTGTATTAGCGAAAATGGTTTAAAAGTCGATTCACCCCCCCCCCCCCCCTCTTCTAGACTTTTACCATACCTCTTTTGGGACCAACAATTGGTATCAGAGCACGTTGCTTATTTGGGTCAACCTATTTTCGACTGCTAGGCAGATCCATTTTACCCAGTGTGTGTAATTGGATTATTCATCTCTCACATCTTACAAGAATATGAATAAAGATTTAGCTCAAAACCTATTATTCTCACTTGATAAATTTGATGATTGGAAAGATCGTATGTAGGTTCATTTATCGGCCTTACATGATGAAATGTGGGAAGTTATCTCTAATGGCTCGATCGAAATTATGAAAGTAAATACGACATTTGTTCCATCACTGGATGTTCCACAGTTTGTACCAAAGCCAAAACCGGAATGGACATCGGATAATAGAAAGCGAAATAATCTAGATGTGACACCCCGTAATCCAAATTC